TGTCTCTTACCAATAATATCAAGGGGTCTGTTGTCTCTGTTCTCGGCATTCACGTGTCTCTTACCAATAATATCAAGGGGTCTGTTGTCTCTGTTTTCGGCATTAACGTGTCTCTTACCAAAATCATCTTTTTTTTGCAGGGTAAATATGGCTTGAAGCGTTACATGAGGGATGGATATCGATGCGTACTGGAAAACAGGAACAGAAGATATTACGAGAAGCGTGAATTAGAAGTACGTCAGTGATGCTAATATCACGTGCCATTCGCCAAACCATCTCACCCTTTATTTGTAACGCTTCCCGAATAATTACCTTTCGCTACCCATTCCGAGGTTGAGAATAAAACTGGATCGAGTTGGAATGGCTGTGCATTATCGAGCTGTGTGAAATAGAAGCATTAATCAAGCCAATCAAATCCAAGATTACAGCTTATCCAATAAAAATACTCGAATGGGATGCAGTTATAGCACGATGTCTGTGCTACGGTACTGTTAGAGCAGTTTTCGTATGACCGGGAAAAGTTCACGGTACGAACACAGACGTGACAAAGCAAGGGATACGCTAGACCAATCACATTGCATGAGAATTTACTTTTCATCCAATCAATTGCTCGAAACACGATATAAACTTGGCGTGGACACGGTCACGCCAATGTCACGGCACTGACAGACCAACCAAATTGCACGGAAGAAAATGCGCCAATCAAAGTTCTAGAAAACACCACGTTCATCATCACAAATACGAAACCAAATTTTTCACAGTCATACGAAAACTCCTCTGTTCGGCTACGCCTTCGTTGTTAGTTTCGTCACTCATACGAAGTTAGTATGCTCTGTGATTTTGTTCTAACAGTCTATTTTCCCTTTTTTCCCCAGTTATTCGATGGCATTGAATGTGAATGGCCGATCTTCTTTGTATATCTCGCGATGGATGGTGAGTTGTATTCTTGGGGGCAAGAATAAAAATAACGATGAAACAGCGGCTGAGTTCTCGTTTATGAGGGCACAGCTAACTCACAGATTGAATCGTGAAACAACCTCTGGGCTGATCTACGTCAGGGCAAGGCTAACTCACAGATTGAACCCTGAAACAACCTCTGGGCTGATCAAAGTCAGGGCATGGTTAACTCACAGATACAGCCCTGAAACAACCTATGGGCTGATCTAAGTCAGAAAGGCAATTGAACTATATACCATTACACGACCCTGAAACAACCTCGGAGTGTTTAAAGTCAGGGCATGGCTGACTAACAGGTTCAGTTGGAAAATAAAGAGTTAGGTTTTTCGGAGAGAGGAAAACCGGAGAAAAAGGAGAAAAGAACTAGGATCTAACATGTGATGCCAAGTCCAGGAATCGAAATAAAGGTTAAAACGCTAGGGCGAGGGTTTGCATTGAAATTCAAGACCGAGGGTCAATGCAAACCCCAGCACGTGCGTTTTAACTGGTTTAAAAACCAACCACGCCCTATTTCTATTGTTTGATGTCGGGTTTGAATTTCGATGGAAAACCTGTCCCAGGTTTTGAATTCATTCCCGCTCTCCCCTGTTAGTATCAATGCTGAATTCAAAACCCGGGACAGGTTTCCCATCGAAATTCAAACCCGACATCAAACATTGGAAATAGGGCGTGGTTGGTTTTTAACCCGAGATCCAAAATTGAGAGGCGAGTGCACTACCGCTACACCACTCTTGATTAGCGGCAATCAACTGAAACACCTTTTGTAATAAAGTTATTAACAATAGACCTCTTGCATTGATTTCCAAGAGGAATTGTTCTTATGGACAGAAATATAGATCATTTTTTCTTATGCCAAAAACTCATGGTTTTGTCCCCCATAACAATTAATTAGTCTAGGAAATCAATCGCCATCTTACCAGTACCCTTTCCTTGCTTAGCTCTCTTTAGACAAGACAAAGAAACAGCCATGTATTACGTGAGGAAGCTTCAAGATGGACTATTGATAAGCACCGAATCAGGCGATATCATTCCGAAATACTACTTTGTTCCCAAGATATACGTCGACGCTGAGCGACGGAAACCGCACTCACAAGTCCGGCTTCCCTCCGACTCCGATCATTTGTTTTTGTGGGGACAGTCTCTGTTGATTATCATGGAACTATTAGGTAAGACGTTTAATAGTATTTACACCTATTTTCAAAATTACTCGACCGGCGCTGCTCACGACTCGTCTCGTTTTCTTTGTTTTGGCTGCCGTCAAAAACAAAAACAAAACAAAAAACGGCTTGCTCTTGCGAAATCCTGGCTTTGTAAATTCTGAAACGAAGTAAACTTGTCTTTCTTTCTGTAATATTCAAACGGTTGAAACTTTAAGATCATTTTGGGCTTTTTTGAATGAAAACAAATCGCTCGAAGTTTGATTGACGGCAGCCAAAACACAAGAAATACCTTTCAAGTGCCAACTACACAGGTCGCGTAATTTTGAAAATAGACGTAATGAATAACTTCATTCTAATTCAACCTTAACTTCAGATAACAAAGCATATCAAAACAAAAGAATATTCTCTGAGAAAGAGTCTCTGAGTTGAAGAGAAAAACTGGGTCGAGTTGGCACTGCAGTGCATTGTGGGGCTGTTTTAGGAAACGTATTTCCAAGATGGCGGCTATTTTGTCACTTAAAACAGCCCCAAAATGCACTGTAATGCGAACTCGACCCAGTATTTTCCTCTTCCTCTCAGATTGGCTAAGAGCTACTTTATTACATGAAATTTTCGCTACACTTAAATTTCGTAATTTTCGAATCAGCTGACACGTCCCAAATTTCTCAGAAACTTAGTAACTTTTACATATGTTTTATTATTGGAAAAAATAGTAATTAAGCTCTTGAATGTGTAAAAATTATCTTATTTTCTTATCAACAAAACAAGCGAACGCTTGGACGCCATTTTGAAACTTTAAACTAGCGGTGAATTTGCGATCGGATAGGGTTCAATCCTCCCCTGAAATAAAATAGGGATTTGAGATGGTCGCTCAAGGGAAGTGGTCGCTTAAGAGAGGTGGTCGCTTACGAAAGACTAAAAACAGTTTTATATGAGAAACAAAATAGGAATTTGAGAACGTGGTCGCTTAAGAGA